GGGGTGGGGGGGTAAGTAGAGAATTTGGTATAGAATTTATAGGTAGTAACCACCAAAAACTTAAATTTTATAGGGACTAAGAACCAATAATTCAATTTGAAGTTAAAAAGTTTTTGATGGAGAAAAGGAAATGAAATAGAATTATTGGATCCAATGATGATGAAATGTGATAGTAATGTAATGTGGGCTAAAATATTAATGGCATCCATGCAACATTATATGCAGCATTATAATTTCATTCATTATTGTAAATCTCAATAACTCAACCCTTTGCTTCATATTCTTCTTAAAGCCTGTTCTTGGAACTCCAAATTCCAATACTTACCTATAATCAGAAGTTATATGTGTTGAGAATTGTCACGAAGATTTAGTTCATGAATACCCTTACACCCTCACTTCGATTCATGAATCTATTAATTTGGTTCATCTCTCGTATTTATACATGAATCATCTTGATTCATGTATGAACATAGTGTAATGCTATGTCTATATAAAAATTTGTTTAACATTGTTTTGAGATGTAGAGTCATTGTGATTTTGTATTTGCACAAAGGTAATTGGGAGAAACTTTGTTAGCGAGATTTTGTAGTGTGAAAGTGAAAGATACACTTGTAAACACTTTGATTATAGTAATTGGTTACCAGTGGTGGATGTAAGGGAATTTATTCTCTACGAACCACGTAAATCTGTCTCTTTGTTTAATTTATATTTGTGGGTATGTGAGTACGAATGATTTTGTTTATGCTTCCGCTATAAAAATTGGTATCAAAGCATTTTGATTGCGGCATTAGGGTACATCAGTATGTAACGATCCAATTTTCTAGAAACCTAAACCGATTTGAGCTCATTATCAGGCTCGAGTCTTGTTCTCTCTAAAGTTTTAAAAAGTCGAATAGTTGCCTTGTATCTAACAATGAGGGTGAAAACCCTCCAATTCCCACCCCCTCCCCCCTAAAAAAGCTTATTTGAAGGACAGTTTCAGGGCCGACATGAAGCCACTAAGCCCATTTCTGTCGCTGAAACGGGCAAAAAATGGGCCAAAAGCCATATGGAAACCCGAAAATTTGAAGTTCAAGAAATGCAACCTTCCTCCCCTTTTCCTTTCACCAGGCACTGTCACAGACATGTTCTTCCAAAAGAAGCTTGGGGCTCACAACTCAAAAAAAAACAGAACATAGGCTCTGGTGTAATCTGGTTCAGCTCACTCTTGAAATAAAAACACCTTACATAAGAATTCTCATAACTACTACACTGATCAACCCCAGCAGGAGAGTTTTCTTTTGTAATCTTTTTGGTTTGGTGTTCTCTCTTAGTATCAGTGAAAGCTCAAGAACGTGGTGTAGTAGTTTATATAGAGGGTTTTGATATTGAAATGGATAATGAGAGGCCACAATCTCAGGCTCACAGAATTCTTGGATATGATATACTCTCTACTAAACAATTAGCCAATCAGATCATAGCCTAACCAGAACCATTTGAACTATACAAATTTACAACCTGAAACCTGAAAACCTAAACTGGATCCAAACTTTCATGCATACGAAGAACAGAGTATCTCCAAGACAATAATTTGCAGTATAAAGTACATTTACATGGGTAGTAATCATCTAAAAGACATAAAAGAAACATTATTTCAACACTAAAGAAAAGCCAAAAGAGAATTATAGTGTTGGTACCTGGAACTCCCAATTCAACTTTTATTATTGGTATCTATTGAAGAAGGAATAGGAGTGGTAATATCAAATGATTTGTACCAAAAAGCCAAAATTAGGTACACACCATCTCTTTAACCTTACTTAAAACTCCCTTCCCCACACGTCTCTCCCTCTTTTTGTTGACATTTGACGTTTCCTCAAAATTTCTTTTCATTTCTTTTTAAATTTTATTTTGCTATCCTCCTTTACTTATAAAACCTTTGATCTTTTTCCTTATAGCTTTCAGTTACTTTTTGGGATTTCACCTGGAATGTTCGGAATTAAAATGGATTAAAATAAGGACAACATCTCTATTGATACGAGTGTTTTCGAATGGAGTCTTAAAACACACAGTCCATTCAATTCTTGGGTCCCATTGTGTTTGGAAAAGCTATCCAAATACTGTGGAGATGTGAAGAGGTTGAAAGGTAAAAGGGATATGTGTGGGAGGAAAAATCCAGCAGGGCAGAGCACTGTGGAGCATGCAGCCCCCCTCTCTCCCTTCCTCAATTCTTCACTTTCAAAGTTATTCTTTTCTGAGTGTTGGAATTCTCTCAGGGGATAAAACTACAAACACAAGAGGATGTAGCACTAAAGTTTCTGTGTTTTCTAATGACTGCCACTTGAATGTACCCTCCTATTCATTTTTTTTTTGTTGTAATTTATTTAAAAAAAATAAAAGAACGCACGAGTAGAAGAAAGAAATGTAAACATGTATTGAGAGAAAAACAACAAAGTACGAAGAAATTAATCAAAAAAACAGCTAGAGTAGGGGCCTATCTAATTTTTATGTGAGTAATGTAGCTGTATAACGTTGAAAAATTCTAATGAGATAAGATTCAATTCTTTTCTCGTTTGACATCAGCAAACCATCTTGTTTGACAAATTCAAATGCAGAGGAAAAAAAATATATCTGTGTAGTCCAAGCCCACTATTAGCAGATATTGTCCTCTTTAAGTTTTTCCTTACGGGCTTCCTCTCAAGATTTTAAAACATGTATGCTAGGAAGAGGTTTCCACACCCTTATAAAAATGTTTTGTTGCCCTCTCCAATAGATGTGGGATCTCACAGTATGGCCCAACGAGAGGGGATGATTTAAAACTCGTAGAACTTTTAGTTCAAAGTTGAATCCATGTTCAGTAAGTAAGTTTGTTTACCCTAAACTACATATATATCAACTTTATGAGTTAATACTCACGTTTTTAGACTATATACATCAAATTTTACACATCAGACATCAATTTTTACACATTACAAACTCGCAAATTAAATATGGCCTGTGTAATTTACAACTTCGAAATTTCTTGCAGACACAATTCAAAATTAAACTACGTAAGCTAAGAAACTCAAACTTTTCAGTTCATTATATCTTGACGTTCAGACAAGAAATGTAAAGGTGTTTTTAGTAAAGGAAAAAAAATTGAATAAAATGAATTTTTTTAATTTAGAAAAAAGATATCTTATTCAACTGCAGAAAAAGTAAGCTTGTAAAACAGTGGTAAAGATATATAATCATTGGGATTTGGAAATGAAAATGGGGGGAAAATCAGCAGTTTTATGCAATGTTCTATTGCTCTAAGAATCTACGTCTATAAAAAGAAAATGAAAGCTAAATTAAATAGTGATAGAAAAGGTTGGAGGATGGAGATGGGTCTGCACGTGTTTTGTGCATTTTAGCCACCAAGTTATGATTGCCTTGCATCAGAAACAAGACAGACAGAAAGAGTCTAAGACAGAGTACTGATGTTCTCAGACTTTGTAGGGATAGTAGATTTGAGAGTCCCACTAGACTTTTGGGGAAACAGAAATCGACACCAAAAAAAGGAAGACAAAGAAGAGTGGGGGCTGTTCTTTTCTGTGGCCAAGAGTTCATTTGCTCATGTGACCCTCTTGAATACGTAACCATGAAAACCCTTCTCACGAGAAAACTTTCAGCAGTAAAATAATATATTAAGTATCAAATATTGATGTAAGAATTGTGTACTGTCGCAGTACTATAAATTTTCTCACTCCTCACCCATTTTATCTTAGTTTGATACGTACCCACCACCTACTTATTCCACCCACTATCAATAAGTATGTACTATCATAGAAAACTTACCTCATCTACTCATTCCTCCATTAAGGATTTCTTTTACTAAATCTTCTTGCTACACATTTATTGTTGTTTTTTCACGTGGGTTGACCCATAAGGAACTTATGCCTCTTGGCATATCAAAAATTTGGTTTATAACTTATAAGAGAAATAAATTCTCGATCCATATAAATATGGTAAGCTAATAGGTAAAAAAACTTTTGAGTAATTTATGGTGTGTTGAGTTGTTGGTGAGAAGTATAAGTGGACTGGAGACTCATACGAGTAAGGGAAAGATTCTTGTCTTTTGCTTTTATACTTCGTTTTTCTACTTGTTTAAGTATAATGTAATTGAAAAAGTAACTGTTAAGGACCATTGTTACAGCATGTGTTTGGTAGATCACAGACCTGCACTACAAAAAATGGTAAGACTTTTTTCCTTTTTTCCCTCCTTCTCCTTTTCTCCTTTAACTCCTTTAACTCTTTTGTATGTATATGTTTTCATATCCACATGTATATAACTGATCATGTAGCTCCTTCTGATAGAAACCAGAGCAGTGAAATGGAAGGGAAGGTAGTAAAGTCCAGGTTCAAAAGAGTTTGTGTGTTTTGTGGGAGCAGCACAGGAAAGAGAGACTGCTATAGAGATGCAACCATTGATTTAGCTCAGGAGCTGGTATTGCTTTGAAAATCTCTCTCTATCTTAATATTACCCATTTTTGGTCTTTTACACTTCCCCCCTCTCTCCCTTTCTCCATGCAGGTTTCAAGAAGGTTGGGGCTTGTTTATGGAGGTGGAAGCATTGGGCTAATGGGACTGGTTTCACAAGCTGTTCATCGTGGTGGTGGCAGAGTCATGGGGTAACTGATCGAAAGAGCTTGAACTTCTCTTCTGAACATGTTTTGAGGTTTCAAAGCTTTAATTTTAGACTGCTTTGTTTAATTTGTTTGGGTCTGGTTAATTTGCAGGATCATTCCCAGGACATTAATGAACAAAGAGGTCAGAAATATGTCAATACCATAATTTGTTGTTGAACTTTCCTTTGACTGATTCAAAGTTGTAGCTTAAAATTTAACTTGGTTCTTCTTCTCTCACGTTCTAAAATGTGATCATTTCTTGGGGGAGAAATTGCAGATAACAGGGGAAACAGTGGGGGAGGTAAGACCAGTAGACAACATGCACCAAAGGAAGGCAGAAATGGCACGCCATTCAGATTGCTTTATAGCCCTACCAGGTCCCATCCATCCCTTTTCCCTTTCCCATTCAGAAACACAATCATAGTGGGTTTCATTTTCCCCTGACTGCACTGATTTTCAGGTGGGTATGGAACTATGGAAGAACTGCTAGAAGTCATCACTTGGGCTCAACTAGGCATCCACGACAAACCAGTAAACTCAAAAAAAACATTACCTCATTAAACTCTGCAAGAAATCCTATTCATGTAGCTTGGTTTTGATCTTCCCTCCTCAGGTTGGCTTGCTGAACGTGGACGGCTACTACAACTACCTCCTCACTTTCATCGACCAAGCAGTGGACGATGGATTCATAAAACCATCACAACGAAACATCATAGTCTCAGCACCCAATGCCAAGGACCTGGTTCAGAAACTAGAGGTCAGTCAGTCAGTCATTCAGTCAGACATTTCGTCGAACAGTTAATGGGCAACTTCCAAATTTGTTGCAATTTGAAACAGAGATTGCCTTTTAACTGTTGACGATCAAATTTTCATTTGTTTAGGAGTACGTGCCTATACATGACGAAGTGATGGGCAACGCGAGATGGTGAATTGAGCAGCAAAAACAAGTGGGGTTCGAACCCAAAACTTTCCACGCTCGGATCACCATGTAAAGGGGAGCATGAAAAGAAAGGGAAAAAGATTCAGTGAATCAAATTGAAAAGAGGCGTTTTTTTTTAAGGAGATGATTTTGGGTCGTCATCATCGTGTCATCATCGTGTCATCAACCATTCTATAATTGAATGGGAAAAAAAATGTTCGAAGAGATAAGTTTGATCAAAGTATTGGGGCCTTCTCTTTTTGTTTTTAAGCTTATGAAATATTAACCCTTGTATTTTTGAACTTTATTTACTATATATAACTTTAGTTACCACTTCGATATCGCTTTGAGGGATACTTTAGAAGAGCTTATTGAACTAAGACTCATACACCTAAAAGCGTCAAGGGTCTTAAGTTTATAATCCACGTCGATACTGCTAACTGAACACTCTGCAATTACGTCGATATTGCTTCGAGGGATGCTATATAAGAGCTTACTGAACTAAGACCCAGAAACCTAAGAGCAACAAAAGCCTACCGAGTATGGTCTCAACTATGTTTATGAAACTCTTTTTACTTTAATCTAAATATCGATTTTAGCATTGTAGTCTGTTAGGTACAATACCACTTTTATTTGAGTGTCCTTCTTGCATATCCAAATCTAATGCATCGACTCGAATCGACTTAATTCAAGGGTCAATATGGACCTATGACCAAATTCTCCTAGCATCATGTTAATGATCTCAAAAATTTATTAAGCCCACTAATCAAATTTAGGCCCATTTAATACATGGATGACATTTAAAAAAACCATTTCATAAAAAAATAAATTTGATTATTTATTAAAAAAAATGAAAATAAGTATATATCAATTATAATTAAAATATATTCATCTTTAATTGTTTTTACGTGGGAAAATTATTTTTAAAAATAATAAAAAAAATCACAAAACTATTTTTTTAAAAAGTTTGTATGCTAATAAACATTTATTTTCATTTTTCACATGCATAATACCATTTATTTTAATTAATCATCCAAAATTTTATTCCAAAAGTAAGCTTATAAATTTTAATTCCATAAATAAATAAATAAAAAATTTGACAAAATGTTGTTTATAAATTTAGGTTAAAATTCACTTTTCATCCTATCAATTTAGCTTTTATATTTTAAAATTTATAATAATTTAATATTTTACTGTAAAAATTTAAATTAAAAAATAAAAATACAAATAGATTAGGGGAGCAGACTCTAGTCAAGCAGCAATCAAGTGTTCCTTTACCCAACTTTCAAAAATATTTTTTATATTTTTTTTGGTTTTATTTCAAAATAGCTGTTGCAACGCGGAGACAAATAATAATAATATAATAATAATAATTATTATCAATATTATTATTAATGATTTTTTTTTCTTCCATCATTTTCTTTATAGACTTTTGTGACCTTGCAATTGTACAATACGCGGTTCCTTCGGACTTTTTTTTTTCTTTAATAATGTGAAAATTAATAAGTTATGAATTACATTTTTTTTTACAAAGAAAAAATTTGAAAAAAAATTATCGTCTTATCTTTGTGTTTTTTTTCCCACTTTAAATCAAAATATTTTAAAATAATAATATTTAAAGTCGCTCCAAAATTAAAAAATATAACGTTATAAAATACAATATAAGGTAGCATACATAAATATATATTATATTTTCAAGAAATATATTATTATCTTATTTAATTGTCTGTCATATTATGTTAAACGGATAAACATTTGATACGTATAAAATAATATTTAAATTCATACCATTTATTTAATAAATATGTTATATGATTTGTAATGCAATTATGAATTTAAGAGTTGATTAATTTTTTTTAAATTTTTTTTATTAAGCTGAAAAAGTAAAAGGAAAAAGAATGGAATGATGTGGTGGAAATTTTGGTGGGATTTCCACAAATTGGAATTCCAAGTAAAAGTCCAAATAAATAAAATAAGTCAACAATATGATGATTTTCCCTTATAAATCTCTATACCGTGTGGGCTCCATCCACTTTGGAATATCCTACTCTTTTAATTACCAATGCATACCCGCCACTTAACCAATGACATGTGGCACGGCTGGACGAGTCACTATCCCCTAATTTTAATCTCTATTTTTACAAAAATATATATATATAGTTGAAATTTACCGTGAGTAATTTTTAGGGATATGGTAAAAAAATATATATATATATTTATTTAAAAAAAAAATTAAATGAAAGACGAGATCGAAAATATAATTTTTGTTATATATGCTTTCACAGGATGTATACCTATTTGTTAAATTAAATGGACATTTCTATACGAGATATTATATATATATATATATATATTTTAGAAAATTAATTTTTGTTTTTAAAGTAACTAACTCTACTTAATTATTATTTTTTTCTTTTTGCTTCAACAAGGCCAATTGCCATTCCCTTTCTTATTAAAATTAAGCTTAATTGTATTATCTAATATTTTAAAATTTTAAATTTTTAAATATATTTTTATTTTATTATTTATTTAAATTTAGTTATTTTATTGACATAAAAAATAATTATTTAAATGCAAATATCATATATTATAAAGGAATATCAATTAATATTAAAAAAAATTATAGACATCTCTTTCAACATTCTAGCGTAAATTAAGCCGAGTGTACTTTTTTTTTTCTGTTAAATTATTATTACTATTTAATTATTGGCTTAAGTTCTAATCTCCCTTACCTTAATCTTAAAATAAATAAATAATTAAATATACGATTTCGAGAATTTATTTAAAGTTAAATTAAACATATGATTTTTTTTTTTTTGAAAAATATTGGGAATTAGAAAGTGACACCATTTAATTTTGTTTATTTTAAAAAATAAAAAATTGACCGAGTAAAATAGCAAAAATTTGTCAAAATATAAAAAATTATAGTTTTGGATTCCTACTGCCACGTACAACTTCTAATAATAACTTTTAATGTGTTCGGTAGAGTTCATTAAAGTCCACTTTTGTGAGTGTGAGTGTGTTCATTGATGGAGAAAAAGGCACAACCTCAAGCCGATTGAATTGATTATTGGGTCGTGACCTATTTTCGAGTAGATTAGGTTGACTGATAAATTAATAGTTTGGATTGGTTAGTCCAGTTATTTGGATTATGTGTAACAATCTAAGTATACCGCTAGCCGATATTGTCTGCTTTGACTTGCTATGTATCATCGTTAGCCTCATGATTTTAAAAAATGTCTACTTTATGCAGAGGGTCTAGCCCTACTTCGACTAGAGCCTCGTACCGTCTAGTGGATGATTTTAATACCATTTGTAATAGCCAAAGCCCACTGCTGATAAATATTGTTCATTTTGGCCCGTTACATATCGTCATCAGCCTCATGGTGTAAGACACTAGTTGGACTAGGGCTAGACCCTCTCCATATTAGACGCGTTTTAAAATCATGAGGTTCATGACGATACGTAATGAGCCAAAGCGGACAATATCTACTAGCGGTGGGTTTGGGCTGTTACATCATCTGTTCACTAAAACCCATACAATGCTCTATTAAATTCAAAACTCGAGTCATATTGTCAAATATGAGCATAACTCAACGGTAATAGATACGTATCTTTAAAAAAAAAAAAAAAAAAATCACGAGTGTATAAGCCAGAAGACCTAGATAACACCGTGGCTCACGCAATAAACAATGGTAAAGAGGAGATAAAAAAGAATTTGAATAGAAGAGATTCCCGCAAACCTTTGAACAAGTTAGACGGTGTAGCTAGCTAGGCTAATAACAGTCGAGTTGTTCAATAATTCTATCGAAATTGAAGATTGACTAGAAGATCGATGGATGAGTAGGGTTATGATCCACACATTGAACATCAGATTATTTTGTGTCCTTTCTCTTTCGAAGACCAAGTCTTTTGGGCCATCCCTTGTCGTCCCTTTCACTCGTACAATTCACATATATAAATGTCTTCCTTTCCATGAAATTTCTACATGAAAACCCACCAAACCAATTAAGCTTCAAATAAGTTTCCATGGCGGACACACCCCATCAGCTCGGCCAGCTCCCGGGCTTTCGCTTCCACCCGACAGAAGAAGAGCTTCTCGAATTCTATCTCAAACATATTGTTTTCGGCAAAGCCCGACATAGCTTCGATGTTATCGGGTTTCTCAACATTTACCAACACGACCCATGGGACTTACCTGGTAATGAATTTTTTTAATGTTTTTATTAAAAACCCTTCAAGGGTTTTGAGGATTTTAAGGTTAATTTTGATTTAATTTTGTTTTTAATAGATTTGGCTAAGAGTGGTGAGAGAGAATGGTACTTTTTTGTACCTAGAGACAGAAAACACGGTGGTTGTGGCGGCGGAAGACCCAACCGGACCACCGGTATTGGCTACTGGAAAGCCACCGGGTCCGACAAGAGAATCTTGAGCTTGTCTGATCCTAAGAGATTGATTGGTTTAAGGAAAACCCTTGTTTTTTACAAAGGAAGAGCTCCGAGAGGAAGCAAGACCGATTGGGTCATGAACGAGTATCGTCTTCCCGATAATTCGTCTCTCCCGAAAGTAAGAATCTTTTACGTTGTCGTCGTGTTAATCTAAATAATTTTATAACCCAACTCAAATCGTACGAATTGATTTACAGGATGTCGTGCTTTGTAAGATATACCGAAAAGCCACGTCATTGAAGGTATTGGAGCAAAGGGCAGTGGAGGAAGAGACAAAGAGCTTGCAGCTGAATAATGCTACTCCTTTAATGGCTGAAGAAGATCAAGACTCATTTAACAGTCAAATTCCGAAGCTGAATTCGAGCGAAATGGTGATGAAAAAAGAGACGAGTTGTGGGGAATATCGAGCGGAAGAGGAAGAAGAAGTCGACTCGAAAGGAACCGAGACCGAGACCAGGACCGGGACCAGGGCGGTCGGAGGGTTGTCGTCGTCGTCGTCGTCCTCGACATCTAAGACGGGTTTACAGATTCCAAAAGGGTTTGAAATGCTGACTGATCTGCAAGTTCCAAAGATGAACATGGATTGGACTCAAGACCAGTTTTGGAACCAATTCACCAGTCCATGGCTTCTTAATTTCAC